CACCACCTATCACTCCCTCCCACCTAACTCTAGAAATGTGATTGTGGGGAGCGGAGATACGCTGCAAGCAATCGGCATCGGCACCATCACCGTCATGGGGAAGGAGGGGGAGGTGCTGAATGTGAAGGGTGTGCTTCATGTTCCTGATTTGGCAGCCAACCTTCTCTCATGCTCTCAACTTGCGAGGCAAGAATACATATGCACCTTCACCATGGAAGGTGGCACGGTTCGCAAGGGTGGAGCTGTGGTGATGGAGGCCAAATTAGAGAAGGGCCTATACCTTGTTCCAGTTTGTGTGCCTCAGGTGGAGAGGGCACATGGAGTTGAAGCCAAGGAAGCCGCTTGTAGCAGCCGTTGGAGGGTCGTGGAGTAGGTGACGGCAGATTTGCTGCACCTACGCATGGGGCATGCAGGAAGGCAGCAACTTGTGGAGTGTGTGAAGAAGGGGGAGCTGAAGGGTGTGGAGATCAAGGAGGGTGGTGGGCAGCCAAGCAAGTGCCCTGATTGCACGACCGGGAAGCTGCCAAGGACCTCTTTCCCTACCTCCTCCACTCGAGCCTCCGCACCTCTTGAGTTGGTGCACACGGATGTGTGTGGCCCCATGCAAACACCGGATAGGGAGAAGGGCAGCAAATACTTCATCACCTTCTTGGATGACTTCAGCCGCCTAAGTTGGGTTACCTTGGTGAAAACCAAGGATGAGGTGGCCAAGGTCTTCAAACGTTGGATACGCTATGCGGAGAGGGAAGCCGGGGCGAAGGTGAAGATACTAAGGTCTGATCTGAGTGGGGAGTACATGGGGAAGGATCTGGAGGCTTTCCTTGAAGACAAGGGCATCACCCACCAGCTTTCAGTCGCCTACACACCGCAGCAAAATGGGGCAGCGGAGCGGCTAAACCGGACCCTCATTAACCTTGCCCGAGCCATGCTTGCTCATGCGCAGCTGGACCATACTTGGTGGGGGGCAGCAGTGCAATATGCCAACTGGGTTAAGAACATAATGGGCAGCAAGGGGCTAGGGGGCAAGAGCCCTTACTTCATGTGGACCAGGAAGGTGCCTAGTGTGTCCATGGCACGAGTGTGGGGGTGCATGGCGCAGTACAAAGTGCCCGACCAGCAACGGAGGAAGCTGGATCCTAAGGCACAATGGGGCATTTTTCTTGGGGTGTCGGAGAGGAGTAAAGCTTGGATGTTGTGGAGTGTGGCGGATCAGCGGGTGGTGGAAAGCAGAGATGTGGTTTTCCACGAGGGGCTGAGCTATAAGGGGTGGAAAGAGCATGGTGCTAGTACAGTTGGGAACTCCCTTCAGGATCCCTACACCTCTTCCATCTTTGAGGGGGCATGGGAGGACCCTGGAGAGGAGGTAGAGGAGCAGCAAGAGGAACAAAAGGCAGCTGCACCTCACCATGAGGAGTCACCAACTGCTGGTTCTACCCCTGACCCTAACGCACCAGCCCATGACCCGGAGCAGCCACAGGGGCAGCAGCAGCAACAAGAGAAGCCGCAGCAGCCACCACAGGAGCATACACCACCTGTTCCTGCGGGTAGATGGCAGCAAATACTGCAGCAGCAGCTGTCCAAGTCACCACGGTCCCCCATGAAGAGAGTGACTTGGAAGGAGAAGCTGCAAAGTTTGGAGTAGGGGGAGGCATCACCTCTGCGCCGCACCACACGCATCTCCCGACCACCCGAAAGGTTCACACCAAGTGCACAGTATGCTTGCATGCATGATAATGAGGTGCATGATATGGAGGAGTGCATGCTTGTGGATGCTGAGGGGGGTGAGCTTGGGCTTGATTTCTGTCTCATGGGTCAGGTGCATGAGCCTAAGTCGGTCAAGGAGGCCTTGTCCCGTCCTGAGTGGGTCGAGTCCATGCGTGAGGAGCTTGAGTCTCATAGGGTGAACGAGTCTTTTGAGCTGGTTGATCCAGCCTGTGTGCCACCTGGAATGGAGGTCTTGAGGTGTCAGTGGGTGTGGAAGTATAAGCACATGGCTGATGGGAGTATTGAGAGGCCTAAGTCCAGGTTGGTGGCCATGGGGAACACTCAAACACGAGGCGTTCACTATGACCAGGTATATACCCCAGTGGGTAAACCTACCACCCTGAGAGGTTCCCTTGGGATGGCAGCATCCTCGGGGTCTCACATCCATCACATGGATGTGACCACTGCCTATCTTCATGGGGTCTTGAAGGAGGAGCTGTACATGAGGCAGCCCCCTGGTTTTGATGATGGGTCCGGCAGAGTTTGCCGACTCAGGAAATCAATCTATGGGCTAAAGCAAGCTCCAAGGCAGTGGTACCTCAAGTTTGACGAGGCGCTGATGGATTTTGGGTTTGAGAGGTCGGAGTGTGACCCCGCCTTGTACCACTTGGTGAGGCATGAGGGCCGGCTGTCCCTCTACCTCTATGTGGATGACATTCTGCTCATGTCTTCGAGCATGGTCTTGCTGGACGAGGTGAAGGGTCTCTTGTCCTCTCGTTTCCGCATGAAGGACTTGGGGGAGGCTAAGTACTATTTGGGGGTGCAGATTGAGCATGATGAGAGTGGCATCTTGATTCATCAGGAGAGGTACATTCTCAACATGCTTGAGTCCTTTGGCCTTTCTGAGGCTAACCCCGTGCGTTCCCCTCTCCCTACAGGGTTCGACGTGCATGCACATGCTGAGGAGCCCTTGCTGCGAGATGAGCTGGTCCGGCTCTATCAAAGCATTGTGGGGTCTCTCATGTATGCAAGCACGACCACACAGCCGCAGATTGCTTATGCAGTGTCACAGCTGTCCAAGGTTGTGTCTTGTCCCAAGGCATTTCACCTGCAGGCTGCTAAGAGAGTGCTAAGGTACTTGAAAGGTTGTGTCAAGTCAGGTATCTTCTACCCCGCACACAGCAAGCCTCAGGTCGAGTTGGTGGGCTTTAGTGATGCTGATTATGCTGGAGATTCAGCTGATCGCAAGAGTCACACCGGCTATGTATATTGCCTCAATGGTGCAGCCATCTCTTGGCAAAGCAAGAGGCAGCCGGTGGTTGCATTGTCCACCACTGAGAGTGAGTACATCAGTCTGTGTCAGTGCATTCAGGAGGGTGTGTGGCTGAAGCGTTTGTTTGGGGAGTTTGGGCATGAGTTTGCTGGTGGTGTGCCTGTGTTTGTGGACAATCAATCTGCCATTGCCCTTGCACAGAATGCATGCTTGCATGGCCGCACCAAGCACATGCAGGTTCGGTGGCATTTCATCAGGGAGATGGTGGCGTGCGGCGAGGTGATCCTCCGGTGGTGCCCCACCAACCGTCAAGCAGCAGATATACTCACCAAACCCCTCCCTTTTGAGCGGCATGGTGTGTGCATGTCCTTGATGGGGATGCAGCCCCATGTCAGCATGGTGCCTGAGCAGGATGTGGGAGGACTGGTGCTTCTCTGCATTGACGACCTCATGCTGTGGATGGCGCCCTTCCCTGGGCAAGGGGGAGTGAAGTGAAGGATTTTGCCCAGTGGTGTTCAGCCACCTCCAGCACGAGCAAGGGGGAGTGTTGATTGTGTAGGTGGTTGTGGTATTTTGCTCTAGCTGGTTGTGGGCTAAGGGTTTGGGCAAAATGTGGTGGTTAGACTTGTTGCGGGCTGGTATTGATCTCGCAACCAACAAGTACCAACAAACCTTTGCTATTCACTACAACACCTTTGGTGTTGCTAGTTTAGCACTTTGGGTTGTTGGGGATTGTTGTAGGGCGAGGGTTGGGTTGGTAGGGTTTGAACAACTCGTCACTTTTCAGATCTGAACTCTTGCTAAAGCTAGTCTTTTGGTCTAATCCATGGCTGCCTACTAATTCCGCCAGAATACACCGTCGCACTTAAATCGCGATAGCGATCGGCCTAGATCTTTGTTGAAAGCGTGCATTACTATTCTGGAAAGTAGAGATTAAGACCGTTCCAACGCGTACCTGCTCATAGTTTAAGGTTACGTGAGCTGCACGCAATGTTCCGTCGAAACGGCGGATTTAATCTCTTGTACGCTCTCCAGATTCACGCGCTTTCCATCACTGTGCACCACCTACAGCACCTGCTGTTCCTGTTCCTACTACTACAGCTGCTACTGCTACTGCTCTTACTGCTACTACTGTTACTGCTACTGATACTGCTGCTATTGTCACTATGGCTAGTCCTACAGTTCTCACCTTTGACTCTGAGGGCCGTCCGATTAAGTTTGACGTTTGGCTCGATGACCTGCACCAGTTCCTCCAGATCACTGCCAAGGACGATGTTTCCCTTTTTTACCACACGTCCGGCGCCACTCCCGCAACTGCTGCTACTGCTGACAGCACTGCTCGCTCACAGTGGCAAACCCATGACGCTCATGCTCGCCTAGCCGTTCGCAGCCACCTACCGCTAGATGAGCGCGAGCACTTTGGCCAGCATAAGACCGCTAAGAAGCTGTACGACGTTGTAGTTGCACGCTACTCCTCCTCCCTTGCTACTAATGCGATTGGCCGGCTCTGTGAGAGTACGACGGCTTATGCCAGCTATGCTTGCTTGCCTTTACTTTATGATGCTATTTCTAGCATAGGATAATTATATGCATGCATGAATTACTTGACTTCCTAGGCTAGGTGCTTTCCTATATTTTATTATAGTTATAGCACCGAGCTAGGTTGCGTGCACTGAATTCTGGCTTTTCGGTTGCCATCGAATTGCCTTCTACCGAATTCGGTAAGGATCTGTTCGGGACGCTTCGCGACCCGCGGAACCTTCGACGTAACACCTGGTTACGGGGCCTTGTGTCGAGCCTATATATAGCCTCGTGTTGTACCCAGGTGATCATTCAATTCAATTACAATTCTCTTTTCTGAGATCGATCCTAGATCCTCACAGGCTCTCACTGCCCTATCTCTTCCCCGATCTGTCTGCCTTTGCCACTGTAGCTGACCTCATCCCGCACCTCCGTACTAGTGATCTTCGCTACCGTGCCGCGCCCCCCCCCCCCCGATTTCCTAGCCAAGAACCCTCCCCTGATGTACGTCACACTCTATAACCTAGTCACCCGCCTCCCTGACTCCCTTCGCACTGTCAAGGACCACTTTCTCGCCCTCTCCCCTACCAACCTCACTGTCGACCTGCTCGAGAAGGAACTCCTAGCAGCTGAGAAGAGTTTTGTAGCTGTAGGTGCCTCTCGTGGCGACCCTCGCGCCCCCTTCTTTGAGGGGTGCTCCCCCGTCCCCCTCCTCCCCTCCATAGCATCTGCTGCTGCTGTCGACTACCTTGGTGCTGAGGGGGTCGGGGCTGCGTCTGCTCCTAGTGGGAGGCGCAAGGGCGGCAGGGGCAAGGGGGGCAGGGGTGGCGGAGGTGGCGGCGGGGGCGGCGGTGGTGGGAGTGGCGCTAGTGGTGGGGGGGTCAGTGGCGGAGCCGGGGGTGGTGGAGGCGGCGGTGGTGGGGGTGGCGGGGGTGGTGGTGGCAGTGGTGGCGGCAGTGGAGCTGGTGGTGAACGCGGTGGAGCGGTGCAGCGTGGGGGGTTTGGTGGTAGCCACAGGCAGCAGCAGCAGCGTCCTAGCGAGACCCCGTCGCCCCAGCAGCTCCATGAGTGGTACTCTCAGCGTGGGGGGTCTGGGGGTGAAGGTACCTGCCCGTACGTCATCCGCATGGGTGACCGCACTGGCCAGACCTGTGGGAGGTTTCACACGGCGGAGCGCTGCTTCTTTCGTCTCGACGACGCCTGGCGCAAGCAGTTCCCCGACGCCTCTGAGCTGCCCTGCTGGGCTGATATGCTTAAGAAGGGAATTGATATCTTTGCTCTTGATTATGATGCTATCCTTGGTGCTATGTATGCATTGACTAAAAGTGTTGAGGGTGACTGCTACCTGAGTGTATCGCCCGACCCGGGTATTGGGACCAGTGAGACTGCCACTCTAGGTGCTAGTGCGTCTCTCTCGCTGACCCCTCTGGGGGCCCAGTCCTTGCGACCTCCTCCACTGTCCTCCCTTCTCCGGTGGTTCCGGCCGGCACCCTGTCGGGTCTTTACCTCTCCTCGTTCTCTACGAACTTGGTGGCGGGCTCTGCTCTCCAGGACGAGGGTGTTCACCAGTTCACCCCAGCCTATGAGCGTCTGACCCACTGTACGTGTGCCCGGACGGGTCGCCATTTGGCTACCTTTACTCGGCAGCCGGGGTCGGACCTGTACACACTGACCACTGAGTCCCCTAAAGTAGCTGCGTCTGCGTCTGCGTCAGGTCAGCTGTCGGCCCCCTGCTCGTGTCGCACCCTGTCGCACCAGACTGTCCTCTGGCACCACCGCCTTGGTCACCCTTCAGTGCAGCGCCTTCGTGGCATGCACTCCCGGTACCTTGTCTCTGGTCTTCCCAGGGTTCTCCCTCCTCTCCCACCCTCGCCTGCTCCTCCCTGTCTTCCCTGTGTCGAGGGGCGGCAGCACGCCACTCCTCACTCCTCTTTCCCTCTCACAGAGGCTCCTCTGCAGACTCTCCACTTGGACGTGTGGGGCCCAGCCCGCATCCGTGGACAGGGCCACAAGCGGTACTTCCTGCTGGTAGTCGATGACTACACGCGCTACACCACGTTCTTCCCCTTGCGCACCAAGGGTGAGGTCCCTGATGTTTTGATCCCTTGGAGCCGCGCTGCTCGTCTCCAGCTCCGCGATCGGTTCCAGTCGGACTTTCCAGTCCTGCGTCTGCACTCTGACAAGGGTTGTGAGTTTTCCTCTGACCTCTTGGCAGCCTACTGTGCGGAGCACGGCATCCGCCACACGTTCACACTGCCGGCCTCTCCACAGCAGAATGGGATTGTTGAGCGCCGCATTGGCTTAGTCATGGAGGTCGCTCGTACCTCTATGATCCATGCGGCTGCCCCCCATTTCCTGTGGCCGTTTGCAGTGTAGTCCGCTGCGCATCAGCTCAACCTCTGGCCCCGGGTCTCTGCTCCGGAGACCTCGCCCACACTGCGTTGGACGAGAAAGGTTGGCGATGCGTCGGTGTTCCGAGTCTGGGGATGTCGAGCCTTTGTTCGCGATACGTCAGCGGACAAGCTCTCCTCCCGTGCCTTTCCCTGCGTCTTTCTTGGCTTTGTCCCTGACGCGCCTGGCTGGCAGTTTTACCACCCCACCTCGCGCCGTGTCTTCCCCTCTCAGGACGTCACTTTTGACGAGTCGGTACCCTTTTACTGTCTGTTCCCCTACCGCACTGCGCCGCTCCCCCCCCCGCCGCTCTTCCTCACGCCAGGTGCTGCTTCAGTAGACCCCCTCCCTCCCCAGGGTCCTGCTCCGTCAGGTGTTTCCTAGGTAGACCCGGTCGAGCCTATCGAGGTAGCTGTCGACTCTGGTCCTGCAAGGGGTGCTGATACTGGTGGTGCTGAGCCTGGGGGTACTGAGACTGAGGGTGCTGAGCCTAGGGGTGGTGAGCCTGGGGGTGCTGAGCCTGGGGGTACTGAGACTGGGGGTGCTGAGACTGGGGGTGCTGAGCGTGGGGGTGCTGAGCCTGGGGGTGCTGAGCCTGGGGGAGCTGAGACTACCGTCCTGCGCCTGGTGACGCTCCCTCTTTAGAGCAGCTGCGTGAGTGGTATTCTCAGCGTTGCAGCCTCCGGCGTGGGGCTACTGGAGCTAGGGGTTTTGCCGGAGTTGGAGCTGGTGGTGCTGCGTGTGCTGGGTCGCAGCCGCCGCCTCCCTCCCCATAGCGACTGCGTGAGTGGTATGCTCGGCGCTGCAGCCTCCGAAGCGGCGCTCCTGGCGCTGGGGTGCCGCCCGATGGAGGCCCTGGTGCTGCTGGAGGTATTGGAGCCTCTGGTCGTGGAGGTGCTCGTACAGGCGGTACTGGAGCTGCTGGGAATGGGGGTTCTGCAGGAGCTGGTGCTACTGGAGGTGTTGCTGGTGTTGGAGTTGGAGCTGCAGGTGCTGGAGCTGCTGGAGCTGCTGGTGGAGGTGAGGACGCCGGGCCTACTGGAGTTGGTGTCGCTGATGACCCTGGGGTTGGTCCAGCAGGTGCTGGAGCCAACGGTGTGGCTGGAGCTGGCGCTAATTGGGGTACTGGAGGTTGCACTACTGGAGCTGCTGGTAGTGCTGCTGGAGTTGGAGCTGCTGCCGGGGGTTCTGGTGCGGTCTCTACTGGTTCTGAGGGCGCTTCACGACTGCGGCCGTACTTCGTTCCGCTCCTTCAGTAGGTTCTTGGTCAGCCTCCTCCTCCTTGTCCTGCTCCCTCCTTAGAGTGTCCTACGCCTGTCCAGTCGCAGGCACAGTTATAGCCCGCCTCGTCACTTCCTAGTCCTTCTCCCTACACTGGTCTGACAGGAGGTCTTACGGAGCGTCGTGAGCCGGAGTCTCGTCCTGTGTCGCCTGAGTCCCGTTCTTCGTCACCTGTTCGTGCTGCTCGCACTGGTCGTAGTGTCTCGCGTCAGCGTCTTCCTGCTGTCCCAGGCACTCACCAGATGACGCTTCGTCTTTCCACTGCTCCACAGCGAGTCCCTCTGCCTTCTCCTCCTGCGTCCTCTCTTCCTTCCCTTGCTGACCCGGAGTCTGACTCTCTTCGTGCTGCTAGTCCTATTGTCACACGTCTCTTGGCCACGGCTGTCACTGACCCTTCCTTTGAGTCTGCTGCTGCGTCTGCCCTAGTTGCTGAGCTTGTCGACTTTTCTGCTCTCTGTCGTCTAGACTACGCCGCGAGTCTTGTTGCTGAGTCTGAGTTTGTCTGTCCTCCGTCCGTCGAGGGTGAGTGTGCTCTAGGCACGGACGTCCATGAGGACAGGCAGGAGGACTTTGAGTGCTTTGCCGCTGTTGTATCTCGTCTCGTATCCATGCTGATTGCCCCTGAGGGAGAACCGGATGTACCAGACATCCCGACCCTGCGCTCTTACGCTGAGGCAATCGCGGGTGAGTACTCCTCTCAGTGGGAGTCAGCCATGGACGCAGAGATGGCATCCTGGAAGTCCACTGGCACTTACGTCGACGAGGTTCCCCCTCCTGGGGCGAACATCGTCAGTGGCATGTGGATCTTCAGGGTGAAGCGGCCGCCAGGTTCTCCGCCTGTCTTCAAGGCTCGTTACGTTGCTCGAGGCTTCAGTCAGCGAGAGGGAGTAGACTTCTTCCAGACCTTCTCCCCCACCCCAAAGATGACCACTCTTCGGGTGCTACTCCACGATGCCGCTCAGCGTGACTACGAGCTTCACTCTCTTGACTTCAGCACAGCTTTCTTGCAAGGCAGCCTGCACGCGGAGATCTGGCTGCGCCGTCCTCCTGGCCTCACTGGGTCGTTTCCTCCTGGTACCCAGTGGAGCCTCCGGCGGCCGGTCTACGGTCTCCGCCAGGCGCCACGTGAGTGGCACGACACACTGAGGACTACTCTTGCGGCTCTTGGGTTCGCGCCTTGTACTGCTGACCCGTCGCTGTTTCTGCGCACCGACACGTCGCTGCCGCCATTCTACATCCTCGTGTACGTCGACGACTTGGTCTTTGCCACTGCTGACACTGAGGCTCTCGCCCACGTGAAGTCGGAGCTGCAGAAGAGACACACGTGCACAGAACTGGGTGAACTGTGCAGCTACCTTGGCTTGCAGATCACCCGGGACAGAGCACGCCGCACCATCATACTGACTCAGTCACACATGGTGCAGCAGGTCCTTCAGCGCTTCGGCTTCACCTGGTCCTCGGCACAGGCGACTCCTATGGCTACAGGTCACTCGCTCTCAGCTCTGCCTTCGGATGACCCGTAGAGCCGAGTTGTCCTTACCCAGAGCTAGTTGGCTGCCTCATGTACCTGATGACTTGCACTCGTCTTGACCTAGCGTACCCTCTTGGCCTTCTGGCCCGCTACGTGGCTCCTGGTAGGCACCAAAAGGTGCACTGGGATGCTGCAAAGAGGGTATTGCGCTACTTGTGCAGTACATCGGGCATATGGCTTGTGCTTGGAGGGAGGAGCTTAGTTGTTCTCACTGGGCACTAAGACGCTTCTTGGGTTGACGACAAGGCTAATCAGCGGTCGTCACAGGGTTACACCTTCAGCCTTGGCTCTGGCTCAGTTTCGTGGCGTTCTACGCGTTCGTCTTCAGTTCTCAGCTCTAGTTGTGAGGCTGAGATCTACGCCACAACCATGGCTGCACAGGAGTTACACTTGCTCATCTACCTGCTGACCGACCTGGGAGAGCGGCCTCGTTCTCCTCCAGTGCTGTACGTCGACAACAAGGCTGCCATTGCCTTGTGTGAGGAGCACAGACTGGAGCACAGAACGAAGCACATCGCTCTGCGTTACTTCCTGGCTCGAGAGTTGCAGCAGCGTGGTCAGCTACGTTTGCGTTACGTGGCCACTCAGGCCAACATTGCTGATGTATTCACCAAGGCACTTCAGTCTGGTGATCATCAGCGTTTCTGCGCTTTGCTAGGGCTTGTGCACACTTTTCCTCACTTGTTGTAGACTTTGCCTGTACTGTGATCTATACATATATATACCTGCATGCTTGCTCTGCTAGGTATAGATCACTGTGATGCTTGTGTTAAATATATGCCTCTGCATGTGAACTGGCCGTGTGGCCTCTTGCTTGTGCTCAGAGTGTGTGGTGACGTTGTGATCCACCCTGAGCTTGCTTTGTCTTTCTTGAATGGTCTTGTGACCCCTTGTTCTCCCCCACTTAGCCTATGGGGGTGTGTCAAATATTGTATATGTTACTGTTCTATAGGCTACAGTGGGTTTAGCCTTAGGGGGTACAACATTCTAGGGTTTTCCTACTTGTATTTCCAGTCTTGCTAATCCAACCGCTTCTCTCATTTTGACATGGCAGCCACTATAGTTTTAGAACACAAGATAGGAAGACTTACAAGTTGGGAATGACTCCCAGCTCCTACAAACCCCAAGAGCCGAGGTACTGTGATGTGGAACAGTGCCACACTGTCCCCAACCACGAAGGATCTTGAAACTACCCTTCAGAAGGGCCTACACCAAGTGAAATGTTACTCTACACACAATAATGTAACTATTCTCTATATCTTGAGGTGTACCCTTTTCGCGGGCTTCGAGATCACTTGAATTTTGAAACCAAGGCTTCAATTCTTCATCATAAACTCATCCTTGAGTTCTTGATGGGTCTGCACACAACTGCGACACGTCGAACGTTCGACACACGACAAGATAGAAATCGCGCGGGACACACAAACTATAAAATAAAAACCGCGCGAGACACACAAGCGATGACGTAAACACGTGACTAGCGATGACTCGCTATAAACTCGACACACACACATTCCACATCATGACTCAACATTCACACATTAATATAAGCATGAAATATTATATATATGCCCTCATGCCCTCATACCATTCCATGCACATACGCATGCACGCACACGGACAACGAGCCGAGTGCAAACCGTAGGATTGCACCAACAAACTCCCCCTCGGATTGTTGGCCTTATGATCTGTTGCTCTCTCTGTTCAAAGCCATCCCAGCCAGCTTGCATCATTTCCAATGCTGCTTTTCCTCCAGCCTCTTGGTCATCATGTCTGCTGGCTGCCCCGTCGTCTTTACGTAGTGCAGCTCAACTTCACGCGCGGCCACCATGCTCCTCGTCCAGTGCCACTTCACCCTCATGTGCTTGGTGAGGCCGTGCAGCACAGGGTTCTTGGCTAGTGCAATGACACCCTGACTGTCATAGTAGAGTGGGGTAGGTCCTTGCTGCTCCTCCCCTAATTCAGCCAACAGACGCCGCTGCCACACAATCACAGTACTCCGATGAGGTCTGCCCGAAATGTCAGTAGGCCGGCACTGTAAGATCCCCGATTAATCCTAGGGGCTTACAAACGCGTTCGCCTGGGGGGTTACGGGCGCACAGACCTGTTACACAAACAAAACCTTTATCCCAGTGGCCTAGTGACTAGGATTCTGACATGGTATCAGAGCGGA